AGTTCCTCCCCCCTCGACTTCAATTTTTGTGTATAAGTTCTAACTATGCACAATTGCCAGGACCCCTTGGCCGTGCRACTAGCCAAAGAACACAACCTTCACAAATGTTATATGCTCGGACTGGACAATGGCCAAGGCACACGGCTCCTAGTGAGTCATTTGCCTACTTGACCTTCTTACTATGGCAAGAAACCATGGGAACCTCGGCTATAGCATCAACCAAAAACTTCAGCCCACCATGAATAGACACACTAAATCCGACTAAGTACTTCACTAAGAAGGAATCGCCTCGCGACCTTGGCCAGGCACGTCCCCACGGCCTCGACAGCCCATAGGCTTATACCCCAAAATCCCCAAGGAAAGCTAGGCCAGGCAGGCTAAGGCATGTGCCTTGCCTCGACCCCTCGGCGGTACAACGCGGTCTCGACCTAGCTACCTTGATGTGGATAGAGAACAAGTTGAGAAGAATAAGGCACTTGCCTCCCTATCCTTCCCACTAAGGAAAGGGGCCTCGAGCCCTCAGCGACATACCTCAGCCTCGTCCTAACAACTTTGAAGGGGTTGGAGAACAAGTCAAGAAAGCTAAGGCATTCGCCTCCCTTTCGTTCTTGCTAAGGAAAGGGGCCCCGAGCCTCGGCGGTGTAGCTTGACCTCAGCTASACTCCTTTAAATTAGTTTCCTAAGCAAATGTCTAAGTAATAAGTCACTACTCTTTTTTCGTTGCTTGTGACCTCTCGGAATGGGGCATCGACCCTTAAAAAATAAATAGCACAAACAATGTAGTAAAGAAGGCATAAGACATGCAAAAAAGTGTATTTCATTAAAGTATTGTGTATGCTTTACAAAAGTTGGCCTTGGATGGGGGAGACTGAGCCCCTTTACAAAATTTTAACAAAGAAAAAGAAAAACAAGGAGAAGAAAGTGCAACTCAGGCATGCTCCTCAGCAATCTCAGTGGGCACAAGCTGCATCTCCTCGGATGGCGAAGGGACCTCGGCTTCTGGCTTAGGAAAGAGCCCCATCTTGCCAATGGGGAAGTCAAGCATCAAAGTCAGCACTTGGGCCTTGGTATCCTCAATGCCCTCCAGATATGATGCAGCCCCGTAGTCGACTAACGCTTTGTCAAAGTCGGCCGACACCTTGAAGGACTCCACAACCTCCTCTGCCCTTCTCTCTGCAGTCGTACATTCAGCCTCAGCCCAAAGCCTTTGCTCCTTGGACATCTTCAACCTATCCTTGACCTTCTTCAGCGCCTCCTTCAATGCCTGCGTTAATTCTTTCTCGACCGAGATTTCGGCCTCCAAGACCTGCCTAAAGTCGAGCTCCTCGCGCATAGCCGAGGCGATGGATTCTCGGCCACTCTCAGCCTTGGAAACTCGAACCTCGAGTTTCTCCCTCTTCTCCTTGGAGATCTTCAGTTGTGCTAGAAGAACCTCCACTTTGTCACACAGGTCGATGGCGTAGCAAGATGCCTGCAACAGAAACACCTTTGTCAGCAACGGAAAGGCAAGAAACAGAAAATTTATCCAAGTGACAAAAGTGAACATCTTTTACCTCGGCCATGTCATCCATAAGGGCGTCCCAGACACCCTATACACCTATCTGAGTCATGGCGTGCTTGTCGGCCGGTGGAATCATCCTAGTCAGCAAGGCTCGGCCAACCCCTTGGGTGCTGATGGAGTCCCCTCCTTAACGGGCCATTGGGGGCAAAAAGTACACCATGTCACTAGCAGTGCATCATCCTGCAACTCAAATGATGAACGGGGTCCCAAGTGTCGAGACCCTCGATGGTGCCCTCGGTCGGGCACCCCCTCAGTGTGTTGACGCCTTTCTTACCACCCTTGGGTTGGTGGTCCTTAGTGGTCCAACCTCTTACCCTTCGGGGGATGAGGCGGCTCGGCTAGCCTCTTCGGGCTAGACTCCCTCTGCCGGTCTGCCTCGACCGACCCCTTCCCTCTTTCGACACCAACACTAGCACCAGCTTGCATCGATGGTCGAGGTGCCCTCTTGGTTGGCACTCCACCCCTCGACGCCTGCTTCTTGGATTGGCCCTTGCCAGCGGCCTTCTTCAGCGGTCGGGCCGCCTCCAGCATAAGTTTCTTCGCATTCAGTGGCATATCTACAAGAAAAAGTAACAAGCATATCAATACTTATGCATGAGAAAATAAATCGACGTGTTAAGCAGACAACAGGAGTTCTCCTACCGAGGAGAGCGGGGCTAAGGCCAGCCCACACTAGAGCTTCCTCCTACACCAGGGGCTCAGCCCGGATCTTCCCCGACACCCAAATACGAGTAATGACCATTGCCTCTTCGTCCCGAATGTAGGGGGAGGCCCTCTCAACTACCAGGTTAAGCTTCCCTTGTCTGACCAAAATGACCAACCCTCGGGGTAGAATGCAAAGTACTTCTTCTTCCAATTATGCACAAACGATGGGTTGTCGACCACTCTACCATGGCGGGCCTAGAAATAGTATATTCCCGCCTCGTTGGGGTGCTACCTCGAGACAAATATGTTACGGAAGATTTTCTTGGTTAGCTTGACACCTAGGAGTCGACCCATCACCAGCACAACAATTATAGTTCTGACGGCGTTAGGGGTCATTTGGCTTAGGGAGATGTCATACCACTTTAGCAGCTCAGGGATGAGGGGAGGAAGGGGGAATCTAAGGCCAAACTGCAAGTAGTGCTCGTGAACGCACACCACGCTCTCCTCGCTATCCATCTCGGAGCATTGATAGTGTTGTACTTCTACACCCTGGTTGTGTACTCAGCCACCAGYCTAGGGCTCAGCTTTGTAGCTTCACCGCCCTGTTCACCCACTACCTCGRGAGACCCTATGGCTCTCTTGGTATCCCTTAGCCTTGTCGACCCAGTGCTCTCATGCGAAGATTCACTGCCCCGTTGGCTTCACTCAGCGCCTATAGGGGAAATCCTCTCCCTTAACACGTGGATCTCGGGCCTCAGAGCAAGGCCCTCGGACTCGCTAGCGTAGCTTTCGCTACTATTGGCCAATGTGGTAGCTCGCGAGGAGAAAGCGCCTGACTCATCAGGACACTCAAAGCACTCAGGACCAGAGTTAGAGTAAGACATGGCTATGGTTCAAGCCTTTACCTAATGGACAAGGTCTTGAGAAGTTTAAGGGCAAAGAAAATCGAAGGTTGAGGTCTCTGAAAGTTCTAGCTCTCAAAAGCAAATGGTGGAGACTAACTCGACTAAGTGCCCTATTTAAAGGAAAATGGATGGCTCATATCATCTCTGATCCAATGACCGCCTAAGTTGACTGAACCGATGCCTAACACGTGTCAATCGCCTTGGGAAGGCRAAACAATGCCGAGCGAGTCAACCGATTCACTCATTAAGTCAAGCGGTTTGCTCGCTCAATCCGAAGCTAGAAGCAACTCGACCTGGTCCATCCACGGCCCATCTCATGTATGGTCACGACGCAATGACCCCTCGCGTAAGGTCATGACCCGACGCCTGTCTCAGGCACACTCCTGACCCGCTCACGCTGAGACGTGCGCACAGTCAGCACCCAACGTCGAGACCCGTCTCCTATATGACCATAGCTCGTTGACGTCAGCACCCATTTCGTGCATGGCCACGACGTGCCTGCTCGTCACTCGTGCCCTACACGGTAGCCACCAGTTGAGGCTGACCCCTGACCCTTGCACGGACTCATCAGCACATCTGTGAAGCACACGACTAGGGGGCACGTGCATCTCGTACTCGTACCACTTACGGTGCCGCGCTCCCAGTCCTCCACAACTTCCAAAAGGTGGAACTAGCAAAATAGATGCCATTAAGACAAGGGAAGCCCTCCGAAGTCGAGGTTGACGTCTCCACGCTTCTGAGTCAGGCTATCTCCATGAAGCCAAAGTCGGAGCCGACGTCTCCACGCTCTTGATCCAAGTTATCCCCAACATCTCCAAAGCTGAGGCCGATGCCTTCGCACTTAAAGACAAGGCTCTCCCTAGAAAAACTGAAGCTAAAGCCAAGATCCTCACTTAGACCTCCACCATGGCCTCGAGAGTGGGGGGCAAATGATGTAGGTGCACAAGGCAGACCCAATGGCGTGGGTGCACATGACAGACCTAGGATGGCGGCGCGTGGCATTTGGCAGAGCACATCCCGACCGTTCGTTCGTAACTAACTCCAGGCAGGTTCAACTATAAATAAGTGGCGTCACTATGAGGTAATCCATCTTGTCATTTATTGCTCTATGCTCTATAGCTTCCTAGTGACCTCGTCTGAGCTATTCTACTCAGGCCTCGTCCGACTTCTTTGCTAAGCTCTTGCTAACTTGATTGTCAGACTCYCTGCCCCTGGTATAACACCCGAGGCCTCTGATGTGTTTTCTCCCCTACAGGTCGAATCTACAGACCCTCGGTCCTGTCATCCCTTGGACACATCAGCCCCTCGGCTACAACATCCTCGACTAACGGAAACATAATTATATTGTTGCCCTCGGCCCATTCCAGACAGCAACAGTGGCCAACATGTGATTGAAGATGCGAAACCCATATTCCAAATCAAAACACTTCCTTTCGATAAATATGATATTGGTTCTGAGGAAGAAGAAACGAATTGTTAAGAGAATTCGAACAGTAAGGAGAGGAAGGGTATTCAAATTGTAGGGATTGAGACAGAAATTCTCCGAGATTGCTCTCTCGTATAGTGAAAAGAGTATTGAGGTCTCTCTTCTTCAAGCAGCTATTGGAACTAAAACCGGGTTATAGAGAATTAGAGATTCCATTTTCTTCTTCTTCTTTCATGAGGCATGACTACATTTTAGAAATGCTTAGGCATAAACCCCTAACGATTAAACCCTAATCCATTCGAAGAAATCACCCTGCCAGGGATATCCAACTGTGAGAGAGTTTTCATTCGCACGTGTAACAAGGTCTGGCTCGTGCGTTTTGATAAACTAATAGATGAGGACTTTTATGCCATTATAAAGTAAAGATGGGCAGTTTTAAGTAATTAAGGTAGAAAGAACCCGCAGAAACCCTACTTCTCTTACTGCCTATAAAATGGCAAAACCTCTGCGGCTCTGCTGATTGCTGAAGGAGGAATAGCTTCTTATCGAGGTGATCCAAAATGTCGAAGCGAGGTTTGTGCCCGTCTGTTCTCTGGATTTGGGCTTAGCGTTTGTGGTTCACGATTTCTGCAGCGGTGAAGATTGACGAGGTGTTCTTGTTTTGATTGCAGGACGTGGAGGAACGGCCGGCAACAAGTTCCGGATGTCGCTCGGTCTACCGGTGGCGGCAACGGTGAACTGTGCCGATAACACAGGTGCCAAGAACCTGTACATCATCTCCGTGAAGGGGATCAAGGGTCGCCTCAACCGGTTGCCGTCGGCTTGCGTTGGTGACATGGTGATGGCCACCGTGAAGAAAGGGAAACCCGATCTCAGGAAGAAGGTCATGCCTGCCGTTATTGTTCGTCAGAGGAAGCCATGGCGCCGAAAGGATGGTGTCTACATGTACTTCGAAGGTTATATTTTTATTTCTATCTACTTGCTTCTGTTTATCATGTTGTGTTGTTTTGTTCTTTGCAATTGTATTGGAATATATATTCGAAGTAATGAGACTGATGTTTTCATTTTTGGAATACTTTCTTAGTATGGTTGATATTTGTTATTTATGAAGAAAAGATTGTAGATTGGCTTAATTTGATAATTGCATTGTTAAAACAAAGTAATTAATCTATTGTTATTAGTGTTAATTCCAATATCAGGTTTAGGTTGTCAGTAATTTTGACTTTGACACTTGATTTGTTTTGGTGATGTTTTTTAAGGTTTTTCTTCTCCAACACATGCATTTATGGGTCTCCTGTCATACATGATACATGTTATTTTTAAACAACGGAAAAAAGCTAATTCTCTACCTTGTGATCTTCTTAGGTGGAACAACTATTGCTTATGAGATAGTATTACATTAATCGCAGAGCTTTACATGCTTGTCTCATAACAATTAAACAAGCAATTGAATCCTTTTCTTCTCTAACCTCTAGGGTAAAGATGGTCATACCCTTGATTACCCGGGAAAGGAAAGTTTTACTTAATTCTCCTCCAAGTATTGAGGATTGCATATGACCAATGATCATATTAAGATCTATGGACAAGACAAATCTGTATTAGTATTACAAAATGGGACGAGTGGCAGTTGCCCACTTACAAAAATATATAAAAAGGATTTATTCTCTTGTTTATTTTTGATAAGTAGGATTGCCTTCTCTTATTTAAACAGATTGGGATACCCATGATTACCTAAGGTTATAATTGGTGTTGCATTCCAACAAGTTAAGATGATTTCATATTTTTGTTTTCTTTCCTCGTGCATCAATTCAAGAACTATTATTATCATATTATTAGAGAATTGCCATGGTGGTAGGCAGGAAAAAGAATTAAGTTGGATATGTTAACGTAATATTAAAATTGTCATGAAGCGAATCTATCACCCTGATTGTTTCTAGATTTTTTTGAAAGTTTGTTGGCTATATTCATTGCCATCTACATTTTGATTGCCTTTATTTGATCAAAATGTCCTGGGGACTGTTCCAAAAGTTTCTAAGCTTTGTACTTGTTTTTTGCAGATAATGCTGGGGTGATTGTGAATCCCAAGGGAGAAATGAAAGGTGGGTAATGCCTTAATCACATTATAATCCCAAACTTCTTACTTGCTTGGTTAAGGTCATGCCATCCAAGTTCCAATATTGGACTGGCTACAGATTGTTATTTCAGTATGTTGATAAACGGATGGTGTAATGAACATTTCCTTATTGTTCTTGAACTGGTTCGTGCAGGGTCTGCTATCACTGGACCAATTGGAAAGGAGTGTGCGGACTTGTGGCCAAGGATTGCAAGCGCTGCCAATGCAATTGTTTGAATAGGTGTTTTTTCTACTTTCAAGTGCTAATTTTACATTTTGTTTGAGTTGATTTGTGAAACGAGGAATGTAGTTTGGTGGTTTTCTTAGTAGAGACAGTAACGGTGTCAAATTATTTTTGAAATCGTATACCTGTTAGTGGGCATTAAAACTCAACACTTAACTTTGGTGGGGAAAGTCGCCTTCTTTTCTTTTACTTCGGCACTGATACCCCTGTATCTGATTTGCTTTCTTTTCTCTCTTCACTGCCTCCTCCCGCATTGTTTGATTGTTTTCATCCTCCCTCAAGATGAGTAGATGACGGACAATCCTCCATGTGGTGAGGCGCAAGACGCTATTTTTAAGGCCAAACAGTTGGTCTCAATGATTCCATCCACATGGAGGGAATGGATTCAGGTTAATTACCAATACCTCTTTTATGAAGTTCACCATTCTCCGCCCTCAAAAAAATAGAAAAATGATCATATCCCTTGCAACGAGGCTTTGTTTCATTTGATCAAGGCATTCCATCCCTGATGACAGTGTAGGACACCTCTTCAAATCAAACGGACGAATGGTTGTTTAATTAAGACATCTATCCTTGATGACAGTGTAGGCATTCCATCCTTGATGGCAGTGGAAGAAATATTGAAAGCTAGTGGTAGTGGTGTTATTCTATTCCATGCATGGTTGTTTAAGTAAGACAACAATTATGTTGGCCGACTTGTAAGACTTCAAGAAATAAAGGAGATGTATGCATGCTAAATAATTAAATATAGACCATCACCTGCCCTAGCTAGCCCGTTCAACATTTTTTTTTTCTTAAATAGAAATTAAAATAGTTGTTCCCAAGAATTTCACTATTTTTGATATCAAATACATTTGCATTTAAAACTGAATTTGGTAGAGAATGTGGGGCGGTTTATTTTCTTTATTTTCCTTGAATCACTTCCCATCCAATAGTTCTACTCTACCCTGAACCCCCCTCAATTCCTTGCTATCTATTTTGATAGTTGTACCATCTTGATACTGATCATTGGTTGGAGGGTGTTTTGATCGATCTTTTTCTTGCCTTGGGAATCCCACAAGTTATTATAAGTTGATTAAAAGCATCGCTTGTGGTTAACTAGCATCCATATCATCTTTATTAATATTTGCATTAGTCAAAAAAGTGAAATAAGAGTACTATATCATCATATATCATACAAGCTTAATACTCAACAAACTTTATTTTATTCGCTAAATTACAAGAATCAAACATCATGCAAACCCAGCGCTAGCAAAAGATTCCCTTGGCTGATAAAGGGAGTTGCCAGCTTTATTTCTTCTATTTTTAGGCTTACCCACTGTGTCAGTGCGACAGAGGCTAGACATCTTCAGACTTGAGTATTACTGGACCTTGGAGAGATCATTAATTAATTGATTATTTAACCGGATAAGAACGAAGCAAAGCAATTGATTCCACATGCTCCGCATTGATATCCCACATTTCTCGCAATATCTATGTAGCATCCATTTCCCCAACCGGTGGTTCCCCATGAGTTCTTCACTATCCAGTATTCTGGGGTGTAACCCACAATCAAAACCGCATGGAGGTATGTTATAGGGTCGGCAATTCGTTCCATAGAAAATTCCCTGTTTCAGTTCAAATTAAAAGATATATAAAAATCCTAATTTGTTGTTACCTTGTAATAAACTAAAACTATAGACTTGACTTACACTTGGGTAATTATAGAAGTCTTGCGTTGTGATAATCGCTGCACTGACTGGTTGCTGAAAAACGGCACATTGGAGGGACTCTTCATCTTGAACAACTAATTTGTACGAGGTTCTGTCAAAGAAGGGAATTCGATCTAGCTTATTATCAAATGAAATGGGAAAAAGAATTAATTATTTATAGCTAGGAGCCTAGGACAGAGAGAGAGAGAGATGGAAGGAAGCTAAGGCTCACCGGAACAGATTTGCAATTGCGCTTTTCTCCCACGTAACGATAGAGATCTTCGATGGTCACCCCTCCGTTATTTTTAACCCACTTAAATGCATTAATCATCCAACCACCATCACAACCCGCTTTTTTATCAACACAGTCTATAAGTTGTTGAGTTGAGACGTTCATCAGCATATTCTTGGAGACGACATTAATTCCTTCGATAGCTCCCGCTGCAGAGAATGCCCAGCTGCATCCTACTCGTGTATAAAAGATTGYAAGTCCAAGTGATTACTGCGAATTTAGCCGGTGTGGAGGATATTTTTGTATCTGCATGCCCCACGTGGGGCATGTTTGCCATGTGGCATTTTACTTATTTAATTAATTATTTCTTTTTTATTAATTGTTTTTCTTACTTATTTAATTATTTATCACATTATTAGTTAGTTGATTATTTTACTATTAATTAAATATTTTACTATTTCTATAGTTGTTTATTTATTTATAATATGGCATATGTTAATGATTTTCATTAAATATTTCGGTATTTTATTCAATTAATTCTATTTTATTGATTATTTAGTAAGTTTTCTTATATTTTTGGTTATTAATTCGTTTATTATTTTTATTAATTTTGCTAATTATTTAATCATTTTATTAGTTGGTTAACTATTTTTACTATTAATTAAACAACTAACTTGTTATTTTTGTAACTATTTGTTTAAGTATTTTTTTTTGTTTTATTAAATTAATTAGTTATTTTTTCTATTTTTGCTAATATTAAAACTGTGTCATGTGATCTTTGCGTGATCACTTGAAACCCTGATCACATGAAACCCAAAAGAAAAAATCAACCAAAGGCACAAAGTGAGGAAATTAAGCTGGTTTCGTGCTTTTGGACTTTTTTGAATTTTTACTTTGTTTAGAATTTTACACGAGTATTCCAAACGCTAAGGTATTTTTCCGACAACTTTTTCTTTGTAAAACACAAAAAGTACTTTTTAAACGTTTATTACCTTTAGGCTCTGTTTAGGAGTACAAATGCAAATATGCAGAGTGCAAAATCTTATATTTTGTATGTATTTATATTATATATATTTACAGTTTTGTTTTTGTTATTCATGCATGCAAATCGATTTCAGATAAATGGGTTCAGCAGTGTTTTCGCTTTTCACGATTATTACTGTATTGCCCTGCTCCTAATTAGGATCAGTGTTTTTAAACCATTGTTAATCCGAATGGCCGGACTGTTTARTCTGAAAATTGTTCAGGCAACTGATTCCGTTTTACCCTTAACACATTCCTATGCCAAAAACCGTTCATTTGGTCAGTAATCTGTTAACCCAAGTGGTTGAGCCATTGATTCAGACAACGGTTTTGACCATCTTTTATTCTACTTTTTTAATTTTTATTTTCTAATTAGAAYGGCCCATTTGTTTGAACTAGAGGTCGAACTGCTGACATAAAAACTGGTGGCCTAAGCACTTCTGGTTCTAGGTCGGTTTTTAAAACATTGATTATTAAGACCAGCTATTAAGAGAGAGAGAGAGTTACTACATGTTTGTTGATTTTTTACAGGGGTTACAGCACCGTAGTCCCTCCAATCATAGGATGAATTGGCTTGGCATGTTGTCTTCACCGGCCTCCTTGGACTTGTCTCCAACATGTTGTCTATGTGATCCAGTTTTGAGAGATACAGCTCCCCAAATTCCTCGAAAGTCGTGTCTGAAAATTGATGAAGTCCCACAATGTGATCAGACGGGGCTTCTTGGAATTCCAGTCGATCACATAGGCCAAGTTGCTTTGGAAACTCTTGAATCTCTTTTCCTTCTCTTCTGGACTTGTGTACACCTTTCCATGCTTCACCATCCATTTCTGGAAGAGCAGTGCCAGTCCCTCTTCCGAGACAATATAGTCAGAATCAAAACCCTCTTCACTAGGGACGATGCCTAAACTAAGAGTAAGGGTGGCCATGCACAAAACCCCCAAGACGAAGATAAGGCTCAGTTTATTGGTTTCTAGGCCAGCCATTGCACTCTTGATTAGTTGATTTATGGAATTAAGCTATTTGGCCATGATGATGCTGTGCTCTTGCTATATATATATATATATAGAGCCACATTGCATTGTAAATGGGAAATGAACATCCTCCCCTCACAATCACAGGATAGTATTCTTTTCAGTGGGCGTTCTCGCAATCATACTTAAACAATCCTACGGTCAAAACCATCCTGATCTTATAGAATACAATTATCTTTGGTATTCTTTTTTTATTAGTTTTTGGAATTCATATAAACTATTAAGCTTAAGATGCCCACAGCTAGCCCCCCCCACCAAATTTCATTTGCGATAAAAGATTCATGCACCCGTAACTTTCAGATTCTATCACTTTGCATCTGCCCTGTTAAGGGGTTCATGGTTTTCAAAACCAGACTAGACCAGACCAGAAATACTGGGTACCGGTTCTGTTTTATCCCAAAACAGTTATTTTGTCAAAAAACGTTGATTTGGTCAGCAAATTGCTGACCCAGGTGATCAAACCGTTTAGAGGTTTTGACCATTTTTATTATTTTATTTTTTTGTCAAAATAGGCCGTCCATTTGGTTCAAATGATTGGACCGTTTAACCCGAGAACCGGACCCCTGACCAGTTCATTGTCCGGTTCAATTTTAAAAACCTTGAATGGGCTTAATGGTAAAGGTAAAATTATTAAAATTAAAATGCTCATTTGAAGTTTGATGGATTAAAAGAAAGAAAATATCAAAATAATGAAAATAGGCATGTTACTTAAAGTAGGTATCTCTTGTGTTTTCTGTATTTTCCTATTTTTTTGTTGTATTTTCTTTTTTTTTTGTATTTTTTGTTGTATTTTCCTCTTTCACCTTCATTTTTTGTTGTATTTCATATATTTTCTGCAATTTCCTATTTTTCATTCTCATTGTATTTTATCAATTTTATGTAAAATAATCTCATAAAATGACGAGGACAATTTGGGGTCTTTAAAATGTTCAAATATATACATAACAGTCCTATGAAAATCTTTCTTGAAGCTAACTGGTGGAAAGCTAACGGTTGGACCAAGTGCTAGGATGGGTTTGTCACAAAATAAAATTTGGGGGGCCAAGTGTCACTACCCACAAAGTAGGGGGTGGCAGTGTATTATATGATATACCCAACAAAATATAAATATTACATGGTTTTGCAAATATGGCACACTTGGCATTAAATGCTTTTGGCATGTTGACGGTAAATGCTATAGAATATCATTTCTGAYAAGATAAGATCATTTTGTGCGTATGGTAGGAGATGTAATTGGGCCGGACTGGATCAGATCCAACCGTCTCTGAATTCAATGGATTGTTGAAGTATCCAATCCAAGATCAAAATAAATAAATAATCCATTATATGTCGAATTGGGCATTAGGATTTTCAAACTTCATTGCTGGGTATATACCTGAATCCGCAGCTTTATGAAAACTACTGTCCTACACTCCTACTCAGCGGCTATACCATATATATCCAGACTTTAGATAAAAATAATGAAGGGTTGCCTTGTTAAGCTTGCTCAACAATAAACATATAGGGAGTGCGCATTCTAACTTAATATCAAAGGCGCCAAAACATGTTTGTCAGAAGACTATATAGTATTTTTTATGATTGGTCATTGTTTAATTTTGAGTGATTGAGTTCGACAGGGACTTCTAGCTAGCCATGTAACGTTCTTGGGTAATTGTCACTTTATTCCATTCACATTTTTATCCAACATCCTATCTGGTAATGGTAGGTGGACCCATTTTTATAAACCATTGTTTCATTCACAAAATTTTATCAAGAGAAAGAAAAAATAAATAAATTATCGAACCCAATTTAAAAAAAAAAAATGAAATTTTACTACTTCAGAAGAAATTGGGTGTTCTTTAATTTCTAGAACAAAACAAATTTTCAGTCTTCAAGCTTTTGATACGATGTGTTACAGAGCAATCCAGTGTCTTCACCTCTCCTGCTCTATAAGTCACTGAACTCCACCGGATGGAGTTCAACAGATCTGATAAATGTAACAACAGAGGGGATTTGAACCACTGAGGACTTAAATCCAACTGAAAAGAGGGTTTAAGTCTGTTTTGAGACAAATGAAAGCTCATAAATCATGTTTTAGACATCATATCCGATGGCAAAGCGTATTAGATTAACTGAGGTTCAATACTATTCCATTGATTCAGGGCACTATGATCCCCATCCATACTGAGGAAAACTTCTTTGAACTCTGAAATATTTCATTGAATTCTGGATAAGAATTTATTTATAAATATTGTATGATCTATGGAATATAATAATCAAAGCACCACAGGAAAAAACATGTTTCTGATCTAGAAATTCAAAAACAGGTTTTTAGTTTAGTGTTGAAAACAACAAATTAATACACTACACAACCAAAAACATGTTTTCCCGTTTTTGTTTCGACAAACAATCTGTTTTCAAACTAAAGTTTTTGAAATCGGCAATTAAAAAAAACATTGTACGTTGGAGAAAATCCATAATTTATCAACCCATTACGCCGAATATCCTCTAATACTTCCCTATATTTTACAATACTAGCACTTGAATAACAAGAGGACAAAGATGTATCATCCTATAATCCCCTGTATTTGCACCCCTTGTATYTGAACAAAAGCCTCCTTCTTCAATTTTGTTCTTTTGTAATTTAAGAGCTTTGTCATGGTCAATCCCTATCATTCATTTATTTGTATAGGTTTGAAAGTGAGTTGAGCTTAACAATACTTTATATCATTATTTTAACTGCCAAACTGAATTTTAACCTGATTGGTTTGCGTTAGTTTTAATGACTTAATGACTGGTTTTGTCATTGGTGTCAAATAATGAATCAAGGTTTTTAAAATCGATCCGGACAACGAACTGGTCAGGGTCTGGTTTCCGGGTCAAACGGTTCGACTGTTCGAATTGAATGGATGGCCCATTCTAACAAAAAAATAATAATAAATAGTTAAAACTGTTGAACAGTTCAACTGTCCAAATCAGCGGTTTATTAACTAAATCAACATTTAACAAAAATCCAGTTTTGGAGAAAACCAGAAACGGTCACCTGACCGGTTTCCAGTTTTTCTGGTCTGACTATACCAGCTGGTTGTACTAAAAATAACACCATAACTTTTTTTTTTTTGTTTTATGAATAATAACACCATAACTTGTTATAGACACGAGATCCAATCCAGAATTTGACATATCAGACTTGGACTGGATTTAGATTTGGGCCAAATCCAATTTTTAAAATAAAGAAAAAATTAAAATGGTTTAAAAATTTTAACTAGTTTTTGGTTTATACATATATAATAAATTTATACAAATATAAAATATTAAATTATTATTTATAAACTTTATGTAATTATTTGTGAAATATACATACATCAAAAACTTACATAAAAAAGTGAAAATGCTTATGGTATTATACATTCATCATATTAAGCAAAATTAAGTATAGTAAATGAGAACTTTGTCATTAGTGTTCGAAATGGCTAAAAAACACAAAAGAAAAAGAAATTTAATATCTAACTCACAAGCCTTGACTGGGTCAAAAATCAAAGGTTTAATGGTTCAACCAGATGGTTCACTAGGGGTTTGTTTGATACCATTGTTGTTTCTTGAAACCCTGCCACATCAGCACCACCTAAGCGTTTTGAATTGCAATGGAATTTTTTTATTTGGTTGAGACTGTTTTAACTCAAAACAGTCAAAAAACGTTGTCTGAAAATAGCAGCAGGGGGGCATTGRAGGAAACGTCAAATTGAGGTTTCCCCCAACAGCCATTGCGTCTCACAATGTTTTAGCTGATATGGCACTTACCTGTCATCCGATGCGGCATGGTGATGAATTGATATGGTGCATCACGTATCATATAACACTTTGAGCAAAGCCATATAACCTCAGTCTACTTCACTGTATAAGCTCCATCATATTCTTCTTCTCGAAGCAGCCTGAAGCTCTTGATAACACATTTACAGACATAACACCCCTGTACATTGGAGAAAAAATAAAATCTGATGTATTCATCAAAAAAATAAAATAAAATCTGATGAAATCCTGGATTTGAAAAATTCTTGTCCATTAGATTGGCATAACAGTAATTGGAAGTGCGATTGGTGTTACATAGAATTTAAAAGTTTACTTTAAACACTTCAACATGAAATAGGACATACCAAACATATATCTACTATAAATGCCTAGTCAGCATTGCTGTTGAGACCATAAACATTAGGTGTTAACCAAACAGGTTTTTCCTCTAACCTGAAACTTGCACCACCCACACTAACTCAAAACGTTTCAAGCCTGAAATGGCAATGATACCAAACACAACCTAGGTCACTAGCTACGTTCATTTAAGTTTTGGGCTGAATAGTAATACCTTTTATATGCTTATTCATGTCTACTGTCTAAGCCTAATTAGTTTTAAATTCTACGAAGGTTATGAATTATCAATCAGGGGCTCCTCTTGAAATAAGATAGTGTTTTCTGTCTAAACATGAAAAGCTTTGGAACACCAAAGGGCTCCATTGTCAATTTCATTTAACAAAGCCTATGCATGGCATGGGTCCTAAGTAGTAAACAGTATTATGCTCCAGTTAGTGATACAAACACACCAACTTGTTATAAACTTATAATGCGTACTAGAAATCACATCAAGTTACATCTAACTTGTAGACTCATAAAGCAACATAAATGCATTGGCAAATGTTAATAATACATGTGCTATTTAGAATTATAAACTGAAGATAGTGCAGTGGGTAATGAAACATGAAACAACCCACAAATTGTTCTCCGATGCAAAATTGACAAGTCCTGTCAAACAATATATCAAACTTGCTGAAAGGTGGTGGAGGGTCATATTGAAATTACAAAACCAACCAGCATTTACAATTTCATAGAGTTTGGAGCTGCAAAAGTTTTGGGCATGTTCTCTTTGAATTTTGTGGCAACTTTTTAGGCAGCATAATGATGGAGATGGACTGCATGGGGATCTCTCAACATAGATAACAATAAAGATTTAGCTGTTTGATTTACGACTCTTCTTTTCCTCAATGCCTGACTGAGAGAAACGGTCTCTTAGGAGCTGGAGAACTTCTTCTATCCTAACATCTTTAACTGCCAATAGCACCATGGCATGATAAAGTACATCTGCCATCTCAGAGGCTGTGCGGAACTTATCTTCATTCTCCTCCAATGTTCGGCATAACTCATCTGCCTCTTCCCTGCAAAAGGTTTTAGATTCCACTCAACATAAGAAACTCCATAAGTTTCTGAAGTTAAGGATTATCTTAAACGTTGGGGCACAAGGGTTGCAATTTGGTTGGATGCTTCACCTCAACCCGAAGCAAACTGATCCAACTCACCTTTAAGACAGGTTTTTTATAAGACTCCACCTTTAAGACAGGTTGGGTAGTGCCTTAGGCAACTTGACCCAAACAGCCAACCCAAGCCCTAAAATAACAGCACAAGTTTAAGCATGCACTGATGTGTCTAAGGTCCTCAAAACTTGAGATGTATTGTTCAGTAGAGAGGATCCATCAAGAAGGGGCTAAACCATAAATCACCTCACAAGGTGACATTATTTACTGGGTTTTTAAACAGTTCAAATAAAATGTCTCTCCATTGCAATAATGTCTCAAACTTATTCTCGGATAAACAAATTGCCATGGTAAGACACACTGTATATGGAATACATCACGTCACAAGTTATGGGACCCAGACTGGCTACAGGTCCTATGGCCCCAGATCTAGGCCTTTTTCTAAGGAAAAAAGACTATTAAACTAGTGGATATATAACCATGTAAAAGTGTAATTTGTAATGTATAGGTGTAGAAAATAAGTATAATACCGTATTTTGGAGCAGAGCAACTTATTGTCAAGCAATAACCGTTTTGTCCATGATGGCTTTCCATTTTCCGATTTTCCTATGTCCAATTTACGCATGGAGATTGTAGACTCTAATGAGTATAAAGTGGTTGACGCCAACCTATTATCTTCAACCTGTTGCATATGATCCACTGAAAACCTAAATGTTTATTACTCAACAGCAAATAAAGTAATTAAAGCCTAAATGTGTATCATCCATCAGCTCCCCAGACCTCTAAAAAATACATATATCACTTTACCAAATCTTGCATCATGGCCTGACACCTACATTCTCTCTCAAAAAAAAAGGGTACAGAATTCAAGAATGCATACCTTTGGATGCTGTAAGAAATCAGAAACTGGTGTATAGTAGCATGTTTCCGCTCCTGTGTGACATGTAGGACCATCAGGCTTCCCAAGATAAATTATCTGAAATAAGATTTCAAGTAAACCCCTGTCCAGATTTAAAGAAAAAAAAAAAGCTGATTCAAGTTTAAGCTCCAAAATTCAGTTCTTGAGAATCATACTGAATCACGATCACAGTCAAGAAAAATTTCATGAACATTAATAAAGTTCATGGATGTCTCCCCCTTCGTCCATAATGTTGACCGTGAACGGCTGTAGAATGTAGCCTTCTGAGATGAAATTGTTTTAGCCAGTGCATCCCTGTTTGCAAAACCTTGCATCAGGATAGCTCCTGTGTCTATGTCTTGGGCAATCGCCACTGCCAAGCCTTTGCCATCCCATTTAATGCTGTCCAGTAATGTATTAACCTGTAAGATTTCCAATTAAAAAACTAAGATTTATTTCATTAATGTAGGCAAATAAATAAACTTCAAAATCCATATATCTGCATTCTTAACATTAGAATGTCATAACTCATATGGCCCATTCAAATATCAAGTTAGACAATTAACTGGTCATACAACTTGTACAGCACAAAAGAAAATATCCATGATCAATCTTAATAATTTAATCATATTCAAAGCCAACGTTGTGCCTCTAAAAAAAGAAATTTGCTTGACAGTTCAAGACTAAATATGGAAGAATAAAATGAAGATCCTAAAGAAACACCAATTTTGTAATACCCAAGAAAAAAAACACTAAGGTTAATAATGGGAGAATGAGTGTTGTAGGAGGGGACCTGTTTGAAATTTCTTTTGAGGGGGGGGGCACTACTTAGCAAAAAGGAAAAATATGCTTACAAAAGAAAACCTTATTTCTTTAGCTAATGCAAGAAGTCTTTCATCTTTTCTCTTTTCAGACCTAAGAGAAAGTGAAGACAATCCATTATTGGAGAATCAAGGAGGGGTTTTATCTCAGTGATTTTTGGCACCAAACCACTCTTTTGGTAAGTCTTTTTCTCCCTTGGATTTTTGTTTTTTGTTTTCTTGTGTATTAAACTTAAAATTAGGATTTTTGCCGGATGATCATTTTTCGGCCAAATGATCATTTTTCATTTTTCTAGCTGTTTGACAGTTTGCCTAGGTGGCAAATCAGTGATCTCTCACTCATGGCTTCGTCAAATGATAGAACTAAACCTACAGTAATTGTGCAATCAGATTTCATGACTTCTCAATCAACTACAGTGAAACTCAATGGTACTAATTATATCCCATGGGCCAAGCCGGTTGAATTACCTCTCATTGCAAGAGGCAAATTGAAGTACATCAAGGAGGGTCCATTGAAAAGTGAATCAGAAGGGTACAATGAATGGGTACAAGAGAATGCCCAAATTATGACATCACTTTGGAATAGTATRGAGAATCACATTAGTGTAAACCTTATGTTTCTAGACACGGCCAAGGAGATTTGGGACCATGCCAAGCAATTGTACTCTAGACAAGACAATGTCACAAGAATTTACCAGTTGTACCAAGACTATTTTTCTCTTCAACAAGGGGATAAAAGTGTTGAAGATACTATGCTTCTCTAAAAAGCTTAAGGAATGAGCTCAATGTTTATCAACCTTTATCCACTGATTTGAAGACTCAACAAGAACTGTGAGAACATCTAGATGTAACAAGATTTTTATTTGGGTTGAGGTTTAAATTTGAACCGGTGTGGGCCCAAATCTTAGGGAGCAGTGATCTTCCATTTTTGTTTGAGGTTTTCTCCCACATAAGGAGAGCCTCAAATCCACATAGTGATCATCCCCCACCTTTAGAGAGATCAACCATGGTGGTTTCCAGAGGAGGTTTTCCTGGTAGACATATGCGTGGTAGAGKTGGAGGAAATGTGAGGGGTGTTGGTCGTGGTCTCAGAGGTGCACGAGGTGGTAGAGAGTTTGGTGGTGCAACGAGTGGTGGTGGTCATAGTGGTAGTGGTTGTGGTTCAGCCCGTGAGTGCTCACATTGTGGACGAGAAGGTCACACAGTCAACTTTTGTTATGATCTTCATGGCCCCCCATCTTCCTAGGCTAACCAAGCAATGGTGGAAGATGATTTTGGGAGTCTTAGTGTGACTAAAGATGCTCCCACTTCCAATGTTGGCAAGGATAAAGACACAATCTCTATGCCACATGAGTATGAAAAGCTTCGCCAGTCTACCTCTTCTAGTTCTGCCACTGCTACACTTGTAAAGTCAAGTACTACTTGTCTTGCTTCTAGTTCTTCACCTTCACCCTGGGTAATTGATTCTAGAGCTTCAGACCACATGGCTGGCTCCTCATATATGTTTTTGTATCCTTGCTACCACCTTCTACCTCTCAAACTGTTACCTTAGCTGATGATTCTTCTTCTGCTATTACTAATATCGGTAATGTGTCTCTTGGTTCTAACTTTAGTTTATGCTTGGTTTTTTATGTTCCTAAGTTTCCTTTTAATCTCTTGTCTGTAAGTAAGCTTACTCAAACCCGTCATTGTTCAATAACATTTTATCCTTCATATTGTGTCTTTTAGGATCTTGAGATGGGAAAAACAATTGGTGGCAGTTGTGAAGTTGGAGGACTGTACTACTTGGATGATCATGGTCCTTAGAAGGACCTTCATTCCTCTCTTACACCACATCAGTGGCATTGTCGTCTTAGTCATCCTTATGTGTTTTGGAAAAGCAAGTCCAAACCTTAGAGTCTGTAACTCAGCTAGATTGTGAGTCATGTCAGTTGAGTAAACATCATAAAGTGTCTTGTGTTCCTAAGAATGATAAGAGAGACCCGAGTCCTTTGGCTTTAGTCCACTCAGATGTTTGGGGTCCTAGTCATGTGTCATCTTATAATGGATTCAGATATTTTGTAACATTTATTGATGACTATTCAAGAATGACATGGATTTACTTAATGAATGATCGTTCAGAATTGTTCTCTATTTTTCTATCTTTTCATGCTAAGATAAGGAATCAGTTTGGTGTACGCATTAAATGGTTTCGTTCAAATAATGCCAAGGAATACTTTCATAATAATTTTCAGTCTTATTTTGACTCTCATGGTATTATACATCAGTACTCATGTGCATACACTTCTCAGCAAAATGGTGTGGCTGAGAGGAAAAATCGCCATGTGATTGAAACTACACCTCACCTTTGTCTCTTCCTCCTCGTATGTTTGGTTGTATGTGTTTTGTTCACAAATTGGGTCCAGGCCATGATAAACTTGACTCCAAAGCTATTAGATGTGTTTTTCTTCTTTACTCTCGTATTCAAAAAGGTTACAAATGCTATCATCCTAATTTATGGGAAGTTTTTATTGCTCCAGATGTTACCTTCTTTGAGAGTTTACCCTATTTCTCTGGATGTGAACCTTCTCCTTCTATTCCTCTTCCTTCTGAATCTAGTGATGTCTTTATTCCCTTGCCTACTATGGAGGAGCCTATTCAACCATTGAAAGAGTGTACCCTAGACGTAATAGACAACCAGAATTGTCGCCAGTAGTTGATCCTACTCCAACTTCTGACATGCCACCAGAGTCTTTGTCGTTGACAGATCCACCATCCTCAAATCTTGATCTTCCTATTGCTCTTCATAAAGGTAAGCATATTTGCACAAATCACCCCCTTTCTCGATGTCTCCTTTGCTCACTTGTCTTCTTCACATCAACGTTTCATTTCCCTTCTATCATCTATTTCTCTACCGTGTTTTCTACAAGAAGCCCTCTCATCTCCTAACTAGAAGAAGGCGATGGATGAAGAATTTCATGCTCTTCAGTCTAATAATACTTGGGATCTCACTTCCTTACCACCTGGGAAGCAGGCCGTTGGTTGTCAATGGACGGTTGTCAATAGGTATATACAGTTAAACACCGTCAAAATGGCAGCATTGAGCGATTCCAAGCTCGACTTATTGCAAAGGGGTGTACTCAGGACTAGGAATGGCAAAAATCCCCATCCCCGTCCCCCTGGGGATCCCCACTCCCTATGATTTTTTATAATGCCAACCATTTTGTTTTTGTTTTTATTTTATTTATTAAAAATAAAAATAAAAATAAAATAATTAAAAATTACAATCATATTAGAAAAGATTCAAACATATTTAACTATATTATTTTTAAAAATATTAATATATAGGTGCATGTATAGATATATACATATATAAATGTATCTGTACATATATACATATATTAGTGGGGATCCTACGGGGTGAGGAGTGCTCTCCCCGTCCACGCCCCATTCGGGGCAGATCCCCACAGGGATTGGGGAAATGGGGAAAATTGCCATCCCTACTCAGGCCTATGGTGTGGACTATTCAGAAACCTTCTCTCCTGTGGCTAAAATAGGTTCTTACAATTGCTCATTTCTTTAACTACCCACTTTGGTTGGCCCCTATTTCAGCTTGATGTCAAAAATGAATTTCTCCATGGTGATCTTCAAGAGAAGATATATATGGAGCAACCTCCTAGGTATGTTGCTTAGGGGGAGCCAGGAAAGGTGTGTCGATTGAAGAAAGCTATCTATGGGCTAAAGCAATCACCACGAGCATGGTTCGGTCATTTTAGTAGTGTGGTGCAAAATTTTGGCTTGAAACAATGCAGTGTTGATCACTTTGTGTTTAGTAGAGACTCATCATCTAGGAAAATCATTCTAGCAATGTATATTGATGATATTGTTCTCACTGACAATGATACACATGGAATTGATGAATTGAAACAGTTCCTACAACAACACTTTCAAACTAAAGATCTAGGAACCTTGAAGTACTTTCTTCGAATTGAGGTAGCTCGATTGAAGTGGGGAATCTCCCTGTTCCAAAGAAAGCATGTTTTAGATATGTTGGATGAAAATGGATTGTTAGGATCCAAGCCAGTTGAAACTCCCATGGATCCCAATGTGAAGATGATTGATAATTAAGGGGAACCATTAGAATACCCTACAAGGTATCGAGATTATTAGGCAAGTTAATCTATCTTACCATCACTAGGCCAGACATCTCTTTTAGTGTTGGAGTCCTTAGTCAATTCATGCAGAATCCAACAACTACTCATTGGGATGGTGTTATGAGGGTGTTGAAGTATCTAAAGGGTGCTCCTGATCAAGGGCTTTTGTATAAGAAAGGGGGAGATATGTCTCTGGTAGGGTACTCATATGCATATTGGGCAAGGTTTCCAATGGATAGGAAGTCCACTACAGGTTATTGTACTTTCTTGTGCGAAAATCTCGTTACTTGAAAGAGCAAGAAGCAGAACGTAGTTGCTAGGAGTAGTGTTGAAGCTTAATACATGGCAATGGCCCATGCTACCTGTGAGTTAGTCTAGTTGAAGCATCTTCTTCAAGAGATGAATATCACAATTTGTCAGCCCATTAAATTGTTTTGTGACAACCGAGTTGCAACACATATTGCTTCTAATCCAGTGTTTCATGAAAGGACTAAACACATTGAAGTTGATTGCCATTTCGTGAGAGAAAGTGACAAGTGGAGAGGTTGTTACTCCCTATGTTATATTTGAAGGCCAAGTAGTTGATATTTTTACTAAAAGTGTGAGTCACTCAAGGATGGACTATATTTGTAACAAGCTGGAACTTTGTTAGAAGTAGTTAACAAGGGCAGTATTGTCTTTTCATGCTATTCTTTCTCTCTTATATCTGTTGTAATTTTCCTAAGGGTATTGTAGTCATTTCAGCTTTAATAGAATACTAATACAACCTGGGTCGACAGTAAGGAGAAGTGAATAGATTTCTCCTTTCTAGTCTTCCTTCTTTTCTTCTCTTTCCTTTCTCTTTCTTTCTTCTACCCTTTTCTTCACCTTTTCTTACTTTATTAAAGTTGGAACATTCTTTATTTAGCTATGTTGTTATTCTTATTATAAATTCCTTTGTAAGACTCATGTATGGATTGATGTATCTGTTATATTATAATAATATAAGACTCTCTAGACCCTGTCATTGGGGATGAATACGATGGCATCTTGGACTAGTCCATTTTGAATTTGAGCCCTCACCACAGAGCATATATGTGGTCCCTTATCACTGGGGTGAAAGTGGTCATAGTCTACTCTTGTGAAATTGCTATGTGACTCTGAATTTGAATTTGAATATATCGAGATCAGTCCATGACATGTGTTCTTATAATTTTGTAAACTATTAGAAAGTTTGATTTTTTTTTGAGTATGTAAAGATTATTCTCTAGGATGGATTAAGTTGTTTAAAACTTATCTTGTGAATATTATGTGAATTTTATGAATTATTTAATGTTATTAGTATCTTTTTTTGCATGCTTGGTCCAACTGGGAAGATGAAATGTTACTTAATGAGGGTTGTACTCATTATTCCTAGTTCTCTTCCATTTCAGGTGATGAAGAAGAATAACTACTCTACGGGATTGCTTGAGAGAGAGAGAGAGAGAGCGTGCTAGTACGGATTTATTTACATTAGAACTTGTAGTAGATTTATCAGTTGGATTTTAGATTTATTATTATTTTTTTTTTTTGTAGAGAGGAGTTTTCACTAAGGCCTTAGACATTTGATGGAACTCAAGTTATTAGAAATTAGGTGATTTTACATTTACTTTACAATTTGTTTTTATTTGAAGTTTATTGTTAAAATTTTGGATTTTGATTGTAAGCAAGTAAAGCCTTACATGCCAGTAAGCATGTGGCATTGTCTCATGCCTAACCTTTGTTGGGGGTGTGACAAATTTTCCGGCTTCAACAGCTAAGAATGTTAAGTTTTCCGATACTTATGGCCATGTGTATCGCGCAATAAGACTCTGAGCAACAATTGATTCAAAGGCTGACACAAAATTATACAATCAGTTTGATTCACGAGTAGAGCATGCACATGTGAATCATTTGATCCTTTAACCCACATTAGGTACTTCCCCATGGTAAAAAGGATGATATAAAAATGCAACCTCCGGATCCTTCAGCAATTCCTACTAAATTCCACGAAATTTCAATTTAGCAGAGGAAACATAGCTTAAAAAATGGATATGTAGAATCGATTAACGCTCGAGTAACCATAGAGTGCAGATCATCGAGCACCAAAAGATACCAGAAAGAGAAAACCTGCAGAAATATCGTGATACCATCCTTCAGCTTTCTCTCCCTTCTTTATTCCAGACATGTAGAGGCCCCTACAATTTAACAGATATCTCTTCTGTAGGCACCTGGACTATGTCTGGTAACTAACARTGGAAGACTTGAAAATAGAAACATACCAGTGCAACTATGAAACCCATATCAGGACCAAGTTTAGCATTAAAGGGCTGCTTGGACACATTGGGCGACATATGACGAATCATTAGAGCATTTATCCCTTGGACTCTGTTGGCCAACCCTTTTCTTTATGGGGGGTTGACTTAGTCGCTATATTAATCAAAATAGAAACTCCTTGGATATTCAGCTTCAGCCATCGAAATGAGCGCAAAGAAACTCTTGCTTTTGAAACATAAATCGAAAAAGAAAAATATGGGATGAGCTAGGGGAAGATAATAAGGACCATAGATCGAACAAGCAATGTAAAATCAAAACCCTAACGAATAAAATGAAAATGGAGAGAGTAGTTTCTGGGTTGGAAGTACCTTTGATTGGAGGAAGATTTCTTTCTCTGGTTTCTGAGCAGATACACAGACTAAGCGACAGCTTTTCTTGTAGTTGAAGTTGGGGGAATATTTACCAGGAAATACCAGAGACGGTAGACGAGTATAAGCTGCCATGAAAGACAATAGAAGGGTTTCGGCGGGAGGGAGTGAGTCGTAGGACCGAGGGGGTTATTTATTGGGTATATAGTATATATACACTCCTTGTTCGTTATGGCCAATTTGGAGGCGCGGGATCAAACCTGCGGAACCTCTGTGTAGCCACTAGCAGTAGCTACAGTGTTTTGTGGTTAGTAAATCTGAACTCATACTCATAATTAACATACTGCATACCGAACATCCAACTCATGGAAGCATGACTTGTATCCTTCGGCCTTCCCGGCCGAGCTCTCCCGTCTCGCTTTCAATGTCTCAATGATGTGAGGGGAGCTCGGGCTCGCCGGGTGTAATCCTTTTTGTTCTTTTCTTTTTTAATAAATAAATTTTCCTCTTAAAAAAAATAAAGGAAGTTTTCTTAAACTACCTTATGTTTTAGCTAATTGACTAACTTTGATTATTGTTTAATGCTACCCCTATAGCCCTATTGTTTCAGAAAAATTATCATTATCATTAAAATATTAATGGAATGGTTGAAATGCCCGTTTAGCCCTTAGGTCAAATCCTTGGTCTATCTTCACCACCCAAGTCCAAACCTGGGTTCCTTGATCTAAGATACAGTGGGCAGCTATGGAGGAGCTTTGAATAGATATAGATGCATATCTGAGCAAAGAGCTACCATGTACCTGTACTAGTTTCAACTTTCAAAGCCAACACAACATCGACCTCTCTCTCTCTCTCCTTAAATCATTACTTCCTTCAAAACTGCCCAGATCCAGGTATCAAAACATGCTACTTCCTCTTTGGCTCATTCATTCCAAATAACTCCACATGAGATGTAAAGATCAAAGCAAAAAATGAATGCTTGATCTGCTACTGCCTAGATTCAGTTGATGTCGGACTCATTTCAGTACCTAGTTGGGCTGCTCTACTACTGCACTCTCATTGAGATCACCCTGTCGATGTTTAGGTACTTCCTCCACTTGAAGAAGCACAAATAGGGGTACTACTACCTGTCAGCCARGCCGAACACCAAGGTGCTTATTGGGGCTCCCTCTTCCATTAAACACTGGAAAGAGGGTTTCTTCATTGTGAAGTGCCGAGGAGGTTGGTCGTTCTCCTCTCCCTGTCTGTTTTAAGGACCAAGGATAAGGGTCCTTCCCATATTGAGTTGTCGGAGGAGGAGATAGTTGCTATGAGGAGGATAGTGCGAGTGCACATCGGGAACTACACATCGTCTCGATTGCTGATTTCGGCTGGGCTGATGTGCCCTTCAGTCGATCAATCCTAGTCTGGTTCGTGGGCTGCATGATCTTCTCTTTTTTTATGAGCTTGTCTAACTTTGTGGTGAATTATGCAAATTCGGATATAGCTGGTGCTGAGGAGTGAGCTCGGTGTATAAAGGTCACGGCCACGAGGAAGGCATAGGTAGCTAGAACCTTAGGCGCGTAGCTCGAAGCCGTGGAGCTTCAATGCCACTCGATGGAATGCATGCCTCAGTAGGGGAAGAGGCCGAGATCGATAGAGGAGGTCGTGGTGGTTGACTCCGAGGAAGCCACAACCCAACTCGGGCGGTCCTCATCGTAGAGGGGGGACGCTTTGGAACACGCTTCGGCCAAGGGCTTAATGGGTGTATATGTGCCTCAATGGTTGATTCAGTTGGAAGACACCCTTGAGACGAAAGGGGTGGTCGAGAAGATTGCCTTGGGTGTGATGCTCCCCAATATTAGGAAGGAAGCTAATAGCCACACCAGCAACTTCTTAGAGAGCGTGACTCTTCATCAAGTCATGGCGGTGAGTGCGACTTTACTTGTTCTTCCTTGTTTCTCTTCTTTTGTTCTAACTATTCAATGTCTTGCAGTCGGTTTGTTTGGTCATCGTCCTTGTCAACCGCCTCCATGAGTTGGTTGAGTTGAAGCGTGGCATTGAGGAGAGGGACGAAATTGTCCGTAAGATGAAGGGTTGCGCCCACGATCTCAAGGAGGTGCGATATGTGCTGAGGAGGGGGTTCGAGGAGGTCGAGGCGAAGATTGCTCGGGCAAAGGAGGAGGGTGTTTCTAAGTATAGGGCTTGAGAGGCTCATCAGAACGAACTGGATGACTATGCTACTGACTCCTGACAGGAGGAATTCACTCTTTATCAGCGGAGAGTGATGCGTCAGTTCTCGAAGGTGGCCGAAATTGTTTAGGGATTCAACCCATTTGATGTCGAAGAGCCTAATGGTGGATATGTTGTTGCCAATTCCTAGGAGTGAGCCAAGGATTCCCCAATGGATAGTTGATGCACTGTCTCCCTCTTTTTTTTTTTTTGTATACAGCTCGGTATGTTGAGCTTGCAATCATTGCATCAACTCTTTTCATTAATGGAAGTTTGGCCTTTCTACTGAGCACTTCTTGTGTTTTCTTCCTAAGTTGTTGGGCTTTGGAGTTAGGTTGGTCGGTAGGGAGTGTAGGTCATGCTTTTGTGCTAGGCTCTTAGGTTAGTAGGAGTTTTGGATTTGACGCTGTGGTTGGGATCTTTGGCCCAATGACCTCAATCTTGTACTGGTCGAAGTCTTCGATCTTTGTTGGTTGAGATCTTTGTCTTAGTGGCCTCGGTCTTATGCTGGTCGGGGTCTTAGTCTTCGATGGCCGAGGTCTTGGTTTTGATGCTAGATGGTCGGGATTTTCGACTTCATGGTATCAATCTCATGCTGGCCTCGGTCTTTAGTCTTCATTGYTGAGGTCTCTGGCTTAGTGGCTTTGGTCTTATGCTAGCCAAGATCTTCGGCCTTCACTATTCGAAGTCTTTGGCCTTGTTGTGTTGGTCTTATGCTGGCTGAGGTCTTTGGCTTTAATTCTTGCCAACCGAGGTCTTTGGATTAGTGGCCTCAGTCTTATGCTGATCAAGGTGCTTCCAAGTTCTCAATGTTGTAGGGGAGCTCGGTGGCACCTGGTCTTGGAGGGCTTCACACTCTTTGGTTGGGCTAGCGGTGTCATCTGTTAGCTCTACTTTGATTGCAAGTTAGGTGGGTGTGCAAAGTTCGATGGCCATCCTCTTGCCATTATGTAGAGGGGATGTCGTTCACGCGGTGCCCGTCGGGGATTTATTCTTGCCTCGACCATTTGTGGTTGGTCAGGTCTTTTGTGAGTTTGCTGTCACACTACGATCATTGGTCAACCCGGAGTTCCACTGTTGGAGTTCGGCGGGGCCATGCATGGGTGTTTGGTCGTTTGTGCTTGAAGAGGATTCTTTATTTATTGAATTTGTAGAGTCCGGTCGTCGTTAGTGGTCGGCATAGATTGTCATTGGTACATTTTAGTCCTAGAATTCCAGCTCTTCAGGGTAGATCTTTTGCGTCTTTGTTTCCCCTTATAAGGGTTGTTCCGCCCGAGATGACGGTGATAACCCCGATTAGGGGAGCTCGGGCTGGGGGCTCGTCGGCATGGTGCAACTCTTCTYTAGGTTTATAATCTTTGACGTCGATGAATCCACGAAGATATCTGCATCGAACGAAGTCTTCTAGGTGGTGACGAAGATCGTGGCAGCTCTCAGTGTCGTGGCCATGGTCTCGGTGGAAGTCGCAAAACTTGTCTTGATTTCTCTTGTTGCCCTAGGTTTTCATCTTCTCGGGCCACTTGACAAAGCTACGGTCGCGGATTTGCATTAGTATGTGAGCCCACGGAGCATTGAGTGGAGTGAAGTGGTGATACATCGGCGAAGGGGTCCTTGGTCTATGGTTAGGTTGGCAATCTAGTCTCTTGGTGTCTCGGTCTGGTCTTCAATCGCCATGGTCTCTGTGCTTTCGGTCGTGCTGGTCTTCATCCTCCTTGCGCAATGCTTGGGCTTCTTCAGCATTCATATATTTTTGTGTGTGCTTCATGAACGCGATTAGGTTGGGTGGAGGGTTCTTTTGCAAAGAGAAGCTGAACATCAAGAAGCACAGTCTACTCATGATGAACATCATTGCTACTGACTGGTCTAGAGCTTGGACCTGGAGGACTTCAGCRTTGAACCTCGCCAAGTATTCCCTCAAGGTCTCTCCTTTCCTTTGTCACACTTGCATGGGACTGGCCGACATCTTCCAATGGCTTTAGTTGGCGATGAACTGCACTAGGAACCACGTCTCCAGCTGTTCCCAGGAAGATATGGATCGCGAAGGAAGGGAGGCGTATTAGGTTTTGGCGACTCTACCAAGGGTGGTGATGAAGGCCTTGCACATGAGGCCCTCGGAGGAACCGCATAGAATCATTATCACCTTGAACCCTTCAATACAGTCGTTTGGGTCTAAGGCCCCATCATACTTCTCGAACTGAGGAGGTTGCTATCTGGCTGGGGGAAGCTCGCTGACGATTTGTTGGACGAAGACAGGCTCTTTTGTGGGCTGTTGACTGTGACTTTGCTTTGTCTGTTGGGGTGCCGGAGGGGTCGCACTRCAGTTTGCTTAGCTGCGTTCCATCTCGGCCAATCATTGTTGCAGGTCCCTGATTTCAACGTCCCTTCCTGTCAGTGCTGCATTGATAAACTTCTCTTCTTTTGGAGCCGTTTGCTGATCTTGGACTGAACTAGATTCGGCTATCGAGGATGGGGGCTACTGCACGTGCTAGTTGAGTCATTCTCGCACTAGAACCCTTGAGCTAGAGTGATGTGATTTAATGTAGGCATTGCGTGCACACTCGTAGTCGAGCTGGGCCCTGTGTTGACTTGTATGGCACCTTTTGGGGTCCTTGGTGCAAAGGTAGGCCGTGGTAGGCACCAGTGCGGCAAGGCGAGTGGCTTGGGGGCGTGAGCTGGTTTCCCAACATTTCCATCATGCCCAAGATATGGTTGACCTTTTGCTTCATGGTGAGGAACTGTGTGGGGTCGACTATAATCTGATGTTGGGGCTCCCAAGGCAAAGAGTTGTGAAGTGAGTGGGATCCCCGAGATGGGAAACGAGCTCCAGAGTAGTTGGGTGTGTTTTTAGGCATGGTTGCTTTAAGTGCACGAAAAGGGGTTTGGAAAATGACTTTGTGTATGTTTCCCACAAATGGCGCCAATCTAATGTTGTCCGATCTGGGGTGTTCCGACCTGAGGACACAATCAGATAGTCTTGCCAACTGGACGAAACCAAGGTGGAAGGATAAAGCCGTGCACTGAGATCTGTAACCAAGAAAAAGGTCAGAGGCCCGAGTGTCGTTACTCAAGAGGTACTTTGATGTTCAAGTTAGTTGAACAGAGAAAGATGTGGTCGGGCTGAGTAGGGTAAGATAATCACTAGTCCAGGCCGAGGAGATAGTATAAAGAGGTGTTTCAAAGGGTGCTCTTT